CCCGCCGGTATGTAAACATGTATCCTCTTGAAAATTGCGTGGATACACATTTCCAGAAATAAACACATTTTAACAATGCTAGTGCTAATGAGGCTAATTAAGTGGACTGAAAGTGTCCTGTTCTTAGCTTTTGATGTAAAAATACAGTTGTTAAAGGCAGGAGAGACTAACTTTTTAAGGTTACATCCAGTTAATGTCTTTGTTCAAGCCCAGGGTAACAGTGTTAAATTTGTAGATGAATACCCATTTTGCACTCTCTTTCTGTAATAGGAATGTCGAAGCTTGGGTTTATCGGTTAATCCTGTTGAATTTCCTCCCTCTCACCCCTGCTGCTTCTGTATCTCGAAAAACCAGCTTCCTGCACAGACCTGCTCCGCTTGCCGCCCCACGCTGCTGTCTGATACACTGCCTGCCAGCTCTGCCTCCAGGGACTAATGAATAGTCATGTAACTGCAAAAATTTGATGCGGTTGCAGGACTATTCAATTACATGCTATCTAACAGCCCTATTCTGTAATTGGCTTGTGAAATTACTTTGTAGAAGAATGGCTACTTTTAAATCCATAATTGAGTGACCACAGAGGTTAAAATGTTCCCCCTCAGGTTTATGTATGTTACCATTTTTGATGTCTGATTAATGTCCATTTGAGACAGTCCAGTTTGTCCAATATACATGGCAGAGTGGCATTGCTAGCACTTGATGGCATATATCAAAGTGATTATGAGGCCCCATCCCAGCTTCATGCCTAAGGTGTTCTCAAATTGGTACCTAGCTCAGTGTGCTCTTATCTAGCCCCCATTCCTATATATGCTAATCTTATCTCCCAATTGCAGATGTAAATAGGCTATTCTCCTCTTCCTTGGAAAATACAAAACCTTTTAGAAAATCTAATAAAGACTAGTTGTAACATTTGGAGAGATGTCAGGGTTTACCAGAGTTTGTCACTGGATTAAGAGATATATGAAACATTGTTACAGCTCACATTGAAAACCAGTACACCCTCCTATAAACTACTCCATGAGAGCTGCTGCAGCATAATTTCCTTCTACAAATTACAGGCAGTCCCCGGGTTACGTACAAGATAGGGACTGTAAGTTTGTTCTTAAGTTGAATCTGAGATGTCAGGGTTTACCAGAGTTTGTCACTGGATTAAGAGATATATGAAACATTGTTACAGCTCACATTGAAAACCAGTACACCCTCCTATAAACTACTCCATGAGAGCTGCTGCAGCATAATTTCCTTCTACAAATTACAGGCAGTCCCCGGGTTACGTACAAGATAGGGACTGTAAGTTTGTTCTTAAGTTGAATCTGTTTGTAAGTCGGAACTGGCGTCCAGATTCAGCCGCTGCTGAAACTGACCGCCAGTTCTGACTTACATACAGATTCAACTTAAGAACCC